CCTAATGGCAATGGCCTCCAACCTACTAGCAATGGCCTCCACCCTAGCAATGGCCTCCGGACTCCGACCTAATATTAATAACGATGGCCTCGCCTCCAACCTAATAGCAATCACCTCCACCCTAGTAGCTCACGTTTGGGAGCTTTCTTCTTCAGCTGCTCTATGTCTACATCTGTCCTGCAGACTCATCATCCTCCTAAGGTTCTTGCTGTGTCTGGCTCAGCGTCTTCTGCCCAGGTGGAAGGGTGTTCATTGGCGACAGCCGGCAAACCGCCGACTCAATGATCCTTAGAAGGAAAAGCTATCAAAAGAGTATAAGGATTGTTATTAACTGATTTACATGAGGTTGAACAATTCAAGTGGGCCTTGCAGGCTAAGACAGCCCACACTTCTGAGCAAAGGGCGGCGGCTTTAGGAGTCGACGAACCTTGACTTCACTGCGGCCCCAATTGCCTAGGTACCGCACTGTAACGCTTTGGTCAGGATCAATGTTGCGGTTTGACCTTTCGACAGGAACCAACATGCCTGTGCAGCAAGTCTGCACGCTATATGTCAAACACACCATATTGCTGGCAGCCTGACCAAAAGGAAGCTTCTCAGTTAGGCAGTGGCTATGCATCAAGACTCTTTGGAGCAGTCGTTCCGCCTGAACCACACATACAGACACGATATGCAAACCTAGCGGCTAGCCTATGGACTCTACGTAGTCTTCTGTGTTGGTACACCGCAAGACTGAAATGCAGCTTCAAGTTGTTGCTTGTGCATTTACCGGCCCCGTCCTTGCGAATCTGCTCTGCTGAGCCCTTGAGGATGACCTGAAACCCAAGACAACCATCACAAGAAAGTTTCTCTCATAATATGACATGTCCTTTTCTCCCTGGGTGCAGCCCAGAACACTTCTCGCTGAGTCACTGTCTTTTCGCTCGCGGTGGACATCGGACTAGAATGCTAATCTACAAGTTCCCACCGAACGTGGGAGTCCGAAAGATGTGAAAGTTGCTTTGCCGGCTTCCCCTCAGCCCAGCATCTTGCACAATACCACTGGGCGCGCCCAGCGAGCATGCCAAGCTGTCCTGGACCAGTGCTCCCACAGCGGCATCGAGCCGCGTCACGCACCTTGGCGCAATGAAAGCAGAAGAAGCGGTGCGCCCGCACACTCCCTGGCTCTCCAGCCTTCCCACGCTCCGTGGCATTGCAGTGGAAACACTTGGACGTGTACTCCAGCATCCCCAAGACTGGCCATGGCAAGCTGCTGCCCAAGCGGAAATCCTTCCCTCCAGGCAGCATTGGCTGCAGCAGCTTCAATAGTGCGCCCCAAGCACAGTTTGTTGCCTCTGCTGAATACTTCAGAAGCCGATCATGTGGCAAGTGCCACTCCACAAAATTGCAAACAGTTGGAATGAAGAAGCGCTGCACAATCATCTGCCGACGGGCATCCAGCTGCTGAATCTTTGTCATCAGTCTGGTTATGATTTCTAAGGTTGGTCTGGGGTGGAGCACCATGTTCAAATAAAACAGGACCTGGTTGGTCGCAAAGTAGAAGTTCAATGGCTCACTCTCAATGGCAGCTTCAAACAAAAGTCTGGCCTTACTTTCTTGTGTCTTGTGAAGTTCGCAGGCTGCGTGGTATTGTGCAAAAGCGCTGTCGGGATGCTTCTCTTGGCACTGCAGTATGTCCACCTCTGCCATGCTGAACTGAGAGCCAATTCCGAGCGTTGGCTCTTCATCGTAGGTTGCATGCCACCATAGAGCGGGCACAAAAACCACATCGCCCGGCTGCTGAAGGATTTCTATTGGCCGATGCTTGGGTGACAAATGTGAAATCACTTCTGGTAACTGCGATGCAGGGCACAGAGCCACTGCATCGTATGCCTCCTTTGGCGGACCTTGTGGTGGGTACAGCCACCAGCGCTTTCGACCTTGCTGGAGGGCCAACCAGGCAGTTCCATGTTTGTGGAAGGCTACTCCACTGCCACCTGGGCCTGTCGAGACAACAACCATAGAACACCTCATCCAAGCAGGAATGGACCTCCAACATTCACTTGGAATACTCCCTGGCTCCAAAGCATTTGCACCCAGCTGGCTGAAGCAATTACCCTTGCTGAAGGCTTCTTGGAAAGACCGCTCATCGCCCAGCATTGAGGGCCCAAACTGTGCGGCCAGCGGGTCACACAGCACAGTCGCTGTCTGAAAGCTGGCAGAGCTGGTGGCCTGGGCGGTCTTTCATGACCATTCTACGGATCACACGGACCTCCACCTGCTAGAAGAATGACTTACTAATAGGAATGGCCTCCAAACTAATAGCGCTGGCCTCCAACCTAATACCGATGGGGAGGCCTACTAGCAATGGCCTCCACCCTAGTAGCGATGGTCTCCAACCTAATAGCGATGGCCTCCAACCAGTAGCGATGCCCTCAAACCTAATAGTGATGGCCTCCAACCTAATAGCGGTGGCCTCCAACCTAGTAGCGATGGCCTCCAACCTAAGAGTGATGGCCTCCAACCTAATAGCAATGGCCTCCAACCTCATAGTGATTCTGATGGCCTCCAATCTAATAGCGATGGCCTCCAACCCAATAGCGACGGCCTCCAACCTAATAGCGACGGCCTCCAACCTAATAGCGATGGCCTCCAACCTAATAGCGATGGCCTCCAACCTAATAGCGATGGCCTCCAACCTGATAGTGATGGCCTCCAACCTAATAGTGATGGCCTCCAACCCAATAGCGATGGCCTCCAAATGCCTCCAACCTAATAGCAATGGCCTCCAACATAGTCACTCCTACCTCCTACCAGTGCACCTACCAGTGCATACACAGGAACCCTAAGCCGCAGCAGTCCTTGGGAAGAAGCTCTTCTCTGCAGGCGTATGGTAGCTTGAGATCACGCGGAGCATCAAAAACCAAGGGATCCGAAAGGCCCTGCCATCCGTCCTGCGTCGCGTCAGGCGTCGAGGCATTCTCAGAGCTATCAAGGACTCCGCAGGTTAGTCGCAACTCCAGGTTCACCAACCTCTGCCACCCTGCCTGACCCAGCATCTTCCACAGTTCCGACTCGCTCACTCTGCGAAGCGTCGTTCCAGAAGGCCCTCTTTTTGGGGTGGCCAATGCACATTCAGGCTTGAAGTCATTGCGATGGAGCTGGAGCATTACCTGATGCAGTAGCCTGAGTATCATATCCAGCTTCCATTTGTATTATGGCACGGCACATGCATTGGTCGTGGACTAAGAAACTGAGGTGCTGGGCATTGTCAGATCTCCGTTTCTGAAGCTCTGGGGGGCTGCACTTCAGCTGACAAAGGTCCTCCTGCAGCTTCGTTCGCAATTCCTCCGCCTCCCCCCACCTGCATCTCAGCCTCTTCCAAATTGTATCTGGCCCGTCGCGGCTGAAACTCCTTGGGTGCCCATAGCATAGCATGACAGGGCTCAAAAAGAGCCTAACAAAACCAAGCTGAACATCTCGTGCTAAACACTCTGATTCGATGCAATGGATAGTGTGGCTAATGGCTGAGACAAATTGAAATTGACACGCCCCTAATCAAATTTATGTTTCTGCTAGATTCTGCTAGCAAGTTTGCAACGAAATGCAGCCAACGCACGGGATAGCCACCAAACCCAACAGCACTTTGCATCCATTTTCCCTGCTCCGCTGGCGCAGCCATTGGCCATTGCTACTGGTCAAAACCTTCTGCAAGTTTCGGACCAAATGTACCTTGATAGGAGCCTAGCTTACGTATCGGCGACGTGCTCGCAGCTGTTTATGGCGCCCCTTGCAAATCAGTCAAGTTCGCACTGAGGCACCCAAATGGTCAGCACCTCGCAGCTGCACAAGCATGCATGCATATCCGCAGTCGTGCAACAACGTTAGAAGGAAAGGAGGCTCACACCGAATCATAACCCACCCCATGCATGTGTGAGCTTCAAAGGCAAATGTTCCAAAAGATTCCCCTTTCCCATGGATTCGTGCTGAGACCGTCGAAACTTCACAAAGGCCACGCGGCAACGAATGTTTCTTCCTTCGAGAGCTCGCGGCCAAGGCCTGATGGGCCTGATGCACTGTCCTAAGTTTGGCCGCACAGCGCGGCACCGTCAAAGGTGGATCGTTCACCAAGCTATCAGCTTCGTCTGCTCGACATGGGAGATGCGTTGGTGACTCGAGGAAGTTCATGTGACTCATGCTGCACTCAGCTTGGACTCAGGTGGCTTTCTCGTGCTTCTCACGCCATTGATTGGCAAGTCTTCGAACAGCTTGGTTGCTCACCAGCTTGGCGTGCTTCAGCATGCCATGTCCCATGGGGGACAACACTCCTGTTCCATTGCGTGGGCGGCTCTCCAAGGCTGCTGACTTGTCATGGATCCACTTCTCAATCCACCAGCGCCTGAGATCAGGATGGCTACACGGCGCATCCCTCCAAAAAAACAAAACACTACTTATCGGTCATGTCTGGCGGGACCGGAGGGCTGGCGTGTGGCTGGATCGACGTGAGGTTCGCTTTACAGGTCGGATCTGACGGCACAAGGTCAGCTGATGAACCTTTTGCAGCTCCAACCTCATAGCAATGGCCTCCAACCTACTAGCGATGGCCTCCAACCTGATATCGTGGCCATTCTTTCAGGAAAAACAAAGGTTGTACTTGAGCAGCTGTCACCAAGAAACTCGTAGGTCTCGCCATCGGCGGCCACAACTGGATCAGTGAAGAGCTCCAGTGACATTGGGCAACAAAGATCTGGCGGTGGACCAGCTGCCTCTTCATGCCAAAAAAAAGCGTCTCACCAGCCTAGCCAGTGCCCAAAAAAACATTGCCACCAGAATTCCGCAGCTCCAGAATGCAACATCTCCGGGAATCAGAAAACCTCATCACAACAAATCATGCAAAACCATGCAAAACCGCAATTATGCAATTTAGCAGGTACTTAAGAACTCTTGTCTGAGACCGCTCATGAAGAATCAAGCTGCCAATAGAGTCATCTTCTTCAACATCAACTGCGGCATGCTCCTTTCCGAGGAAGTGATCCTGACAATTGGATACAATTGGATCTGAATGCCTTCTGGTGGGGGCGCAACAAGTTGGCATGTTACTATCATGTCATCATGCCATGTGGTGCTGCTACGCAGTCCTTCAGCAAGCTGGTGAGAGTCATGAAAATCGACTGTTGACGAAAAAGGACTGTCCACCAAATCTCCGACTCGATGACCAGGTCAGATGCCCCGGATTTCCAATCGGATTCACCTGCGCCTTGTCCTTGCAAAGGTCCAGTCACATCAGTGGTGATGGGATCCTGGAAGGACGTTCGGAAGCTCACAAGGTCACAAAGCTGTGTCCAGTTCTTGGGGTTAGCTTTGATGACAGTTACGGCGCTCTCACTTGGCCAAGGGTCTCTCAAATAGAAGAGCTTCCGCGATGAAGCCGAACGTTTGCCAATCTTGCCACTTCTGGCCAGCTCGCGAGCAAGCCTAAGGCAAAGCGAAGGCAATACAAAGGAAGCAGGTCTGTTGAGTCCCGGAAGATTGTACTGAAGCCAGGCCACGCAAGGTCTGCATCCTGGATCTGCCGCTGATCAGCCATGTTCTCGCTGCAACGCCTTGGAAGCCAATCCAGGAGGAGTCTAGAATCTGGAATTCCTCAGAATGTACGTACATAATATGATACGTAGTTGTTGCCGGGAATGAGTGGGGCAGTAAAGAATCTCCATCCGTGCCTTCAACTCGAACATCAGATTAAGCCAAGAGTCGCTTCCAAAAGGCCCAGCAAAACCTCAAGCCAACATGTCCGATCAGAGAGGAAAAAACGACATGGGATAACCCCACATGTCAAGTTTAGTGTCACATAAAGGGGGAGAAAGAAAGTAATGAAATTAAAGATGCATTTGTAGGCGGAGTGTAGGGGTGAAGAACCAATGATTGAGTGATTAGGTGTGAGTTGAGTTGGTGTGAGAGATGAGTTGGTCAAGAGGAGGAGGCGGCGAAGGAGGAGGCGAAAAGGATGCACAGTAAAAGTAACACGTGGTCCTCTTGCATGGGAATAGATGTTCTGATCAAGCCGATTCTCCTTAAAATGAGTACGATATTCCCAACTAAACCAGACTCAAAAAGAATCAGTTCAGGTCAATCCCTAACAGAATCAGACTAGTATGATATAAAGTATGCAATGCCCTGGAAATAACATGGAAGTGGAAAAAGGTGCCTTGGAAGACCATGTTCCTCCACAAAGAGGAGAAGGCTTTCCACTTCCATGTTAGTTCCAGGGAGTGTATCTTGCTGCCTTGGGGCTTCAGGGTCTGAGGTCAATTCCTCCAAGTTCAACTCCGGGCACAAGTCAGCAAACCCTTCAGCATCTTCACCGGTCACGGCGCGCCTCAGATTCAGCGGCGAATGAGATGCAGCTGAGATGCACACAGTCTGCAGCAATGCGTTTCGATCATGCCTAGGTACGGATAGCTCTTCGCCTGCAGCAAGTGGGGTTGTCTTTTCTTCCCCGTTTACTGCTTAAGCTAGGCTGGAGTAGGGTAGGTTGGAGGCCATCACTAGTAGGTTGGAGTGATTCAGCAAAACCTTTGCCATGCCAGGATGCCTGGCCTTCGGCATCAAAGGCACACTGTCCAAGAGCTGCGCACGGCGGGCTTCCGAACGCAAATTTCTCCAGGTGTAAGACCATGAATTTTGATTAAGGAGCCATTGCTCACAAACCTTAGCTTCGTCATCTTGATTAAACTTGCTGGACTGCAAGGGTTGGACAAAGTCTGGAGCACTGTCCTTGACCAACTCTCTTCGGCCACGCTCGGTAAGAAAGTGCACAATATCCGGGTACAAAATCTGAAGGTTAAGCACCTGTTGATCACCGGCAATCGCCACCCTTGAGATGCTCCTAGCACTTAACACTTGGATAAGGGCTCCCAAGACTTTTAAACACAAGACGGGCACCAAGACAGGAATCATTGCGGTGGAAAATCTTTGGAAAGCCATTGTCATCATTATCAAAAGTTGCATTACCTGGCAAGAGGCTTCGCCCTTGGCCTGCCGAACTTCTTCGGTCAAATCATCAGGCGTTTGATGTTGAGCCCAAGCCAGGACGCAAAACCTCAAGAACAATTGTCAAGGTCGATTGTAGCACTTTGAGAGGCAAGGCAATGCTATACTTCTGCGCCTGTTGTATGTACATAGTATTCTTGTATGCCGCGTCAAGCCAGTCAAACAAATTGCATGCAAGAAGCAGCCAGCAGCGCTGCAGCATGAAACTCACATGGCTCTGCTAGGGCGACCAAGACCCAAACATTCACCCATCCTTCCAGCCCCCGCTGCAAATCTTTTGGGTATTGTATGTCGCTCTCTCATCTGCAAGTGGGATGTTGTTCCTAACCCCTTTTCACAACCTCACACCATCATTGGGCTGCATGTCATGCTCTCACGGAATAGAAGGCAATCTCAAGTGGCTTACTGCAGGTCTCACAGAATGCGTTCAGAATGTGTAAAGGATAAGCAAATCAAGTACAGTACATAAGGGGCGGTCAAGAAGGTCTGCACAAAAGGCCTTGGCTTCATCCGGTGCCCAGTCCACATCGCAGCCTGTCTCCTGCAAGGTGTGCATTTCCGTTTCACTGCAGTCCACTGCATGGCAACGGCCCCAATACTGTTTCACGAGTCTTAATGCCTCAAGCAAGATTTGCCTGTGCTCTGGGGTCATCAGGTATTCCTGGGAGGCTCAGATGTCCAAATTGTCCAAGCCACAAACCTCTTTTCATTCACAGCATTCTGCCAAGAATCTACCATGTCCCTGGGCACCGGAAAGTCTTGACCTCTGTCTCGCAAGTCAAGAAGAGCCAAGTGAAGAGCCAAGTGCAGCATTCAAAGCGTGGCATATGTGCTACAAAGTAGCATACAGGTCTACTCAGTCTACTCTACTGACTCTACTTTCCTTGTGCTCCTCACGCTCCCTGCATCTCTAAGTCGCGGGACTGGACAATGCTCCAAGTTTCGAGAAGTCCATCGGAGTTGTTGGTGGCTGCCAGGCGGACAGGTCCTGCCGGTAGAGCGGCCAAAATGGTCAAAAGGCATACAAAGAGATGAAGGTAAGGCCCTCTAAAAGGAGGCGCCTTGTCTTCCTTTCTTCATTTATTGGCTCTTCTTCTATACTATTTCTCATTTTTGAACATCAGGCAAACCGCATCCCAGTCCGAAACCGGTCCAGCACCTGCAAGGCAAAGTGGCAAAGAGCGTTCAACTCCCAGTGCATGAAACACACTGCTGGTAAAAGCTGCTCACAAGTCTACAGCCTCCAGGGGCCCCAAGGTTCACCGGTGGGGCCATAAACCTCGCCATCACTTTACTTCACACCCTTTCACTCACCTCCACTCCAAGATGCATCTCAGGGGGCCACGCCGCTGCCCCTGACAACATCTGATCCAGCCTGGATGAAAGCATATCGACACTGGCAACACGCTGAGTGAATACACCATTAATGGCATTACATTGACGTTGCTCCATAATGTCCGCATTGATACGAAGCCTGAACAAAACTACTGCAACACAACGAAAATTGGAGATGAAGACACATGTGCGCCGGCATCTGGCGGTGCCATACTGAAGTTGAGCAGCATTGATCTGGCTTCTGTGGCATGTCTATGGCTCCCCCTTTGTCCACCCAATGCACTTCAGCTTCCATATGCTTCCACTGTTCTGCGAACCCTGCTGGATTTCAGGGCCATCAGGAGCAGGCGGCGGGGCACCTGCAAGTCTTCCGTCCACTTCATGAAAAGGGTAGGAGTGCACTGCAACCTGCACCCTGATGCTTGTTGACTCATAACATGGGGAGGAGTCGTATGTCCACTGTCAGCAGGAAGATACTCTGAGCTCAAAACTGTTGGAGAAGCCGCCAAAGCCGGAGAATCTAGGTTTCTTTCCTGGCTAGGTCGTCGCGGCTCTTTCGTCACGCCTGTTTGAGATTCAACGGTTTGCAGGATCTAGCAGTGCGATAGACGGAAACGTGTCTCAGGCCTCCATCTTCCTCATCACTATCTACATCTGGCAGGCCAGGCATGTGAGAACACAGCAACACACACGGTGTCGAGGCTCTTTGCAAATCCCGGTAGTTGATTTCGAAGTCTCAAAGAAATCCTGTGGTTCAGCCAAGAAGTCTCGAAGGGGTGTTTAAATCAGCCCCTGGAGCGTCAATGGTCTTGCAATGAGCAGCCCATCAGAATCAATTCATCGGCCACCTCGCTTGCCCATGGTCCCACCAGAGCCACCTGGCAGGCATCGCTCTCTCAAAGCAGTGGTCGGAACATAGAATACCACCACCCGTTACTTCCGGCATTGCTACACTCAACACCAGCAACAAGAGTGCCTTCACAATCCAAACCACAGGCCTTGGGAGGGCACTCTCGCCAGGGAGACCCATGGGCCCCGCTGCCACTGGACCCAGGCTGCCAAAGTTGGAACAGTCGAAAAACACTTAGGCTGCATGAATTCCTGTCCCTCGCAAATCCCTTATCGCGCCCCATGCAATCTCAGAGCTTTCAGATCATTCATGATGCTGCTTTCTCTTCCACCATGGGCGCTTCACTCAAGCACACAACGGAAAATGTGTTCCTCCATTCATGGAGCAACTGTGCTGGGATTCTTTAAACAACCCCGTGGGAAATTGGCGCACCGTTGCACCACAAGGAAATCAAACTCTTTGTATCTCCAACATGTTACAAACACGGGAAGTCAATGGTCAAACAAGGAATCCTTGACACCTGGATTTATATATATATATATCTGTGTGTGTTTCTATTGCTTTCCTCGTGCTGGACGTGGCAAATAGGCCAAGTCACACCATCTATTTACACCGAGCCTGGCCATCTCACAGGCCGGGCAGCCAATGCCCCAGGTGGCTGAATTCCAGCTATGGACCATCGCTCCAGTGTTTGACTGAACCATTCAGAAACGCATTCTCTAAGGGCTATTGGGCTCTTGGGCTCCAAGCATGGCGGGGGAACCAAAAGAAATAGACTTGAGAAAATGGTGACGGTGAAGGTGTCCACGCAGACTCAAGGAGCTCCTTAGACCCTGCCAAATAGATTATTGAAAAGACCTGGCATCGAAACTCTTGAGAAACAATGAATTGGCTGCAGCGGCTACGGCTATCACCGAGCTGGGCCGATGTCAAGGGTCACTCCACATCCAACACCTGACTGAGCTTTCGACTACAATTCTTTAGATACCACAAGGACTCACAGAAGCACAAGTATCGTATATGAATCCCTCGTGATAGATCATCTCGGATCCACGGTCGCTCGGTTCGATCAAAAGGTTTCATAACCATATGCCCTGGTTACTAGTAGCGTTTGTTGCTAGTAGCGATGGCCTCCACCCAATAACGTTCTTGGTTATGGGCTTCACGACCATTCGAGGTCCGCAGCCCAAGCACCTCCTTCGTGCTTTTCGTTGCCACCTTCCGATAAGAACCCCTGCGAGCTGGTACAGCTGAAGCTGCATCCAGTTGGAGGCACAGCCTCAGAGCTGTGAGCTTAGGATTGGCGACTCATGTATGCAACAGGCCAACAGGTTCAAACCATCATCGGGCAGAGATCCCAAAATTGAGAGCAGAACACTTTTTACAAACCTTCAGTTTGATTTTTTTTGCATCTACTGACCGCTTTTTATATAATATATATATATATACAATGCAAGTCTGGAGCGCCTCACCTCTTGCTGTAAGAATACCTTTCAGTACAGCGTGTCTTCAAGATTGCAACATTCTTGCACCATCGTCCATGAAAATGGTTCTGTGTGCGCGCCACACTCCGTCCCAAGGAGTTTTTGTTATACGCAGGGGGCATGGCAGCTGTTTCCCTAGCCATGCCAACGAAGCTATGGGATTCAGCCGGAAGGGAATGTGGACGCACATTCCTGCACCTGCAACTGAAACTTTTGGCCAAGTTGTTCCACTCCTCGGTTTGCTTCCATGGTGGTTTGCATGCTACTCCCCACAAACCCATTTTTTGCCGCTGAGCTCGCCGCCGCCGCGTTCTGCAGACAAGTGAACCGATTGTTCAACAATTCAGTTGCGCTGACCGCTTCACCTTTCGTTTCCCTCATCCATTTCCTCGTGGAACAGAGTTAACTGCAAACCCATTGTCTAAGTGTGTCTGCGCGCGTGTCTCGCAGCAAAGGTCACGGCCAAGGGTGCTTCAAAGCGCTTGCAGCTGTTATGCGGGAGCTCGCCTGCCGACTTGGAATCTAGGCAGAATCTCAACGAAAACAAAACGCACAGATTCTGCCTAGGCTGTGCATAAAGTGTTAAAATCATGCTTTGATTTGCGACACCTCCAAATGCAGCAGCTGGCGAAGAAGATCTCTAGCCTTGGATAGACATGGGAGGCTAGCAGCGGCAAGAAGCTTGGGCACCATTGTCTGTGCAGCCAAATCTCTTCACTTGAAATGGAATTCAATCGTTCAGCTTGCAGCGCCTCATGCAACGCAATGCACAGCAAGACCCAAGCAATGCAACGAGCAATCGAAGTATGTGAGTCTCATGTCCAATTCATGGTCGCTATTAGTCGGTTGGAGGCCATTGCTATTAGGTTGGCAGAAATCGCTTCTAGGTTAGAGGCCATCGCTTCGAGGTTGGAGGCCATCGCTTCTCGGTTGGAGGCCGTCGCTTCTAGGCTGGAGGCCATCGCTATTGGGTTGGAGGCCACCGCTTCTAGGTTGGAGGCCGCCGCTAGTAGGTTTAAGGCCATCGCTACTATGGTGGAGGCCATCGCTTCGAGGTTGGAGGCCATCGCTATTAGGTTGGAAGCCATTGCTTCTAGGTGTAGGCCATCGCTTCTAGGTGGAGGCCATCGCTTCTATGTGGAGGCCATCGCTAGTAGGTTTGAGGCCATCGCTACTGTTACTATGGTGGGGCACCGCTTCTAGGTTGGAGGCCACCGCTAGTAGGTTTAAGGCCATCGCTTACTATGGTGGCTGCCATCGCTTCGAGGTTGGAGGCCATCGCTATTAGGTTGGAAGCCATTGCTTCTAGGTGTAGGCCATCGCTTCTAGGTGGAGGCCATCGCTTCTATGTGGAGGCCATCGCTAGTAGGTTTGAGGCCATCGCTACTATGGTGGAGGCCACTGCTTCTAGGTTGGAGGCCATCGCTATTAGGTTGGAGGCCACTGCTTTTAGGATGGAGGCCATCGCTATTGTTTGGAAGTGTCTATCTTTCGTCTTGCCAAGCCTTTGCCAAGAGCTCCTGAGCTTCATGGCTTCTGGTGCCCAAAGTCTGCATCTCCTCCGGTTGGACCGGGCAGTCTCCTGTGAAGAGAGTATACCTGAGCCACTGCGGAGCCTTGTTTTGGGTCTTCTTGATCATTGTAGGGCAGCATCTGCAAAAAGGGAATGCTTATATAATAGACTGCTAGGCTTTGGCAAAGCTGCAAAATGACTCCAACAGACCACATGTCGATCGCAGCCAAGTATGGTTGCTCGACTGCATCTGCAATGACCTCTGGAGCCATGTACATTCCTTACAGTTAGCACAACGTGCCAGGACAAAGTGTGATATCACGAAGCTGGCTACGGAGGCAGTTTCGGCTTGCAAGGCCATTACAGTATTTGGAACTTGCGGCTACGACTTCTGCCAGGACTCGTGTGCCACACTTTTTGCCGTCCCACGGCTTGTCCAACCGAGCAAGGAAGCCGAAATCCAAAAGAACCAAGGGAGAGCCAGGCTCTACACTTCGGTATCGAAAGTTGTCCTTAGCATTGTTAATTGTTCCACTGCCCTCTTTCAGCCTGCTAGACAAGCCACAAAGAAGGGAACCATAAACTAAACAATATATACAGTAAATATTATAAATAGGTTGCGAACATTGATCGATTTGTGCATATCCCGGTTTCAAGCTTGATATCGCGGTGGCACACCTTCACTTTGTCATGGATGTGCGCCAGCGACATTAAGACTTCGCGCATAACACCCTGACAGTGAGCTTCGGTCACTGGGAAAAGCCTCTCCATTTGCTCGAGGAGTTCTGGGCCCTGAAGGTCTTCCATGACAACATAGTAGTGGTCTGCGCTCTCAAGCAGGTCCATGTATTTCACAATCCCAGCATACGGAGAATGAACCGACATAGACATAAGTTCATCATAGAGTCCACCATCCACCTGAGATTTGTAGCTAGAGCCACTCTGTGATTTCTTCAAGCTCTTGACCACACAGTGCGTGTCGGTTTCCCGATGGGTCGCCTTCCGCACGATCCCGAAGCTTCCGAAGCCCACCGACTCGGCCGTGACGTCGTAAAGATCTTGCAACTCAGGAGTCTCAGCACCCTTCCACTCCAGGGCCTTCAGAATGTCGACAGGTCCAGAGAATGAGCCAGGGCACGAAAGGCCCCCGGCCCATGCACGAATCAGCTTGTCATCGCTTTGGATCACCGCCGTGAGGTGATTGGTCTGCCCGGCCTCTGCTCCAACATAGACCCTCTCATCGGGGTCCCATTGCTCTGCATCCCAGTAGGCATTGCTATCCTTGCGCGGAAGGCTTCTCCCTCCGCCGCTTTGGGTAGATGGTGTGTCAAGAACATCTACATCAATTTTCTCCACCTTCTCAGGCTTCACTGGGCGCTGAGCTCTGGAGTCAAAGTCCCAGTTGCCGGAGGTCCAATACTCAGAACTGCCCTGGTGCTGCAACTGTGGGTGAGCATGTTGCGGTGCTTGTGATGCAGCTTGCTGCGGCCCATCGAATGATACCTTTTTAGCTGGCGGGGAGCGGGCCAAAGAGATATTCCCAATGCCCAGGTCCATGGAGCGGACCTCATCCAAGCCATCCATAGCACCCCAGTATGAGGCACTGTCACCCCGCCTTGAAATATCACAAGGCAGTTCAACACATTTGAGTTTGGCAATGTCTTGTTGAGAAATCAAGATATATAGTGTGTATATATATTAAGACTATATATATATATGAAGGCTATAAATATATATATATATATATTTGTTCATCGTGTCCGCTCAAACCAGCATTCCTCGGCTTTTCTCCATG